AGAAGTGTGTATGCTGTTAATGTGCTCATTTATTGTAGAATTGTGATGGGCTCATGTTAATCCAAAAAGCATTATTACTCAGAAAACAGCACAGGAACAGTGGCATGGGAACCAAGGTCATTTCACTGTACAGAGCCTGGGAAGTTCAGTGATAAGCTCTCGATTCTTTTCATAAAGACAGAGAAAACGCTTTTATAATGAGCAATATATATCCTCCCGTCCTCAAGAAGCCTACTGAAATATACTGTACTTTCTCAAAAACAACCTGATGTCATCCTGTCCCACAACAGCAAACACTTCCAACTGTTGTTGTCCGCTGGAACTAGATGTTTTCTTGTGTAATGGCACCATCAAGTGTGTAAAAGTGTAATGGCATATGATACTGTTTTAAATTTTGAATCCATCAGACTGTTAATGACTTCTGTGTTTTGACTGAGAACCAATAGAAATATCCCAAAAAGTCTGCTAGGAGGAGCACATCTTAGAAATATAAATTGACTGATCAACTCTATGTGAAGGAGATGTGCTGCACTGCGTGAGGCAAATGGCGGTCACACCACATAGTGACTGGTTTCAGGAACCCACCCAATACAGTGAAACTGCACATTTTGGAGTGGCCTTTTATTGTGGCCAGCCTAAGGCACACCTGTGCAATACTAATAAAAAGAAACACTACAAACTTATACAGGATGTAAAGCTAACAGAAACATAGAGGGAAAGATATCACAAAACATAACACACACGTGTGTGTGCATAAAATCAAATCCCTCAGCTTCAGCTCGGAGGAGGCCTCTCCCTGGCTCAGCTTCCCCTGTGCTGGACCCTGACTCTGCTTTTACTGATTGTACAGCTACATATGTACGAGAGGAACATCAGTAATAAATATGACTTACAATAATCCATTCTCTAATTCTACAAACACACTGTCCTGTACCTGTCACTGTTTTGACTGGTTCCATTTACCTTCTCCTCCTGCTGCTCCTCATCTTTCTTCTCTTCCTCCTCATCAACATGACTGGGGTCATCGTCATCCTGTCCCTCTGCATCACCTCCACTGACCTCAACTGCTAATATACATAAAGACATACAGAGATTCCTCGGTTAAATAGGCAAATTTAGCTGCCTCTTATGCCAACATTTTTTCTTCTTAATTCTTCTTTTTTCGGCATCACATTTCTTTTTCCTTTTCCACTCTCTTCTCCACATTTAGGCTACTGTCTCTGTTGAGCTCATCACACAACCCAGCGCTGACACAACGCCACAATGGCCAGTCCGTCCCTGGCTGGGACGTGCACAAACAGACATCAAAAGGGGGCCCTGCCCTTTTTCTTCCTCAAGAGAAAGTCCCATTTTTTCTGGGTATCTTTTTAAAATATTGTTACAAATTAAATAGCCTGTAAAATGTATATTCTTGTTTGCGCACAGCTTCCCTGTCAAACAAATATATATCATGAATAAGAAATTTAAATATCAGGTTGGCCGATTTTTTTTTTTTTGGTGATGAACAAAAGACTAAACTATCAGTACCTCAAGTTTACAACTTATTAGCCAAATGACAAAAGGTAATAGTTAACTTCTGTCTTGCTAACATGCATGAATCTTGAGCTACTAGGCCTAATAAGTTAGCTAAAGTTTAGCTAAGGCAATATATCAAGGCCATACAGGCTATTGAACTGTAGCCTACTTAATGGAGACACTACAAGTGAATACAGTAAAATTTGTGTCTAATAATGTCATCAGAATTGCGACACTGATTTGCAAGATAGCAATAAGGTGAAACTCCCCAGGGTGAACCCAATTCACAGGTAGCTTGGAACAATTTTTCCCTGGCTGAAACCAGATCCCGGACACTACAAGGGGAAGTGGTTTCTTCTTCTGTTTCTTCTTTGGTCTTCGAGCTCGTACCATTCTTGGAGTCAGATGTTTTGCAGAGCATTGACTTCAAGAAGGCAGCGGGGGCCAGATGGACTTCATCCTGTTTTGTTAAAAATGGTGGCAGAAACTATAGCGAAGCCACTCATTTACATCTTTAAACTTTCCATTTACACAGAGCCTATTTCATGGAAACAGGCTTACGTCACGCCATTACTGAAAGCTGACGATCCATTTCACACAAATAATTATAAAGGACCTATCGCAAATCTTTCGGTTTTAGCAAAGGTTTTGGAGAATTTAGTGTCTGCATCAAACTGGTTTTAGATCCGGCCACAGTACAGTTTCTGCTACTTTAAAAGTTACTGATGACATAAAAGCGGTGACTGATAAAAAGTTATTCTTTATGGCTGTGTTTGTTGACCTTACAAAGGCATTTGATACAGCAGACCATTTCATGTTAATCAAAACCCTGCTGAATATTGGTGTTGGGCACAGAGCTGCAAATTGGTCTCAGAGTTATCTCTCTGAACGGACTCAATTTGTAAAGCATGGGGATGTAACATCTGACATCTGTCAAAGCTTGACCCTCTTCATCATGCGGCTCTTGGGTTCATCACAAATGCTGGCTATCAGACACATCACTGCATCTTATATAGTATGGTAAATTGGCCATCACTCAAACTGTGCAGGATGTAACACTGGTACATTTTCATTCATAAAGCTATTTTAAGTCTTTTGCCTATTTATATCTGTTTGAAGTTTGCTCATTTGCAAGTTATACATATCATTTAAGATCTAGTGACGGTCTACGTTGTAAGGTACCAAGAAAGAGGACAGAAGCAGGAAAGAGGAGTCTGTCTTACTATGGCCTATCGTCCTGGAATGAACTCCAGTCTAAGTTTAAGATTGGCCAAATTCCTTAGCTGCTTTTAAAAAAAGAATATCAGACATTCTGACGGACATATGCACTTGTTTTTAATTAATGGTAGGTAGATCTCTACATTTACTCCTTCTAATTTTGTTTGTTTTACATATTTAAACTCATTGCATTTTTGTCTATGAAAAGATCTTGTAAACTTCGTGTTACTTTGTTAATGTCTAAATGGTACATTTCCATTTTAAATAAAGGTATAAATAAATTAGGCGTTAATTATTTTCATAGATTTGACAAGGCACTGCAGGTGAATAGGATAAACAAAAGAACTAAAGCATATCGCCACAGTTCAAATACTTATTTGCAGCTGTATCATACAAATAAATAGTTAAAAAATCATACAATGTGATTTCTGGATTTTTTTTTTTAGATTATGTCTCTCACAGTGGACATGCACCTACGATGACAATTTCAGACCCCTCCATGATTTCTAAGATGGAGAACTTGCAAAATAGCAGGGGTGTTCAAATACTTATTTTCCTCACTGTATATATATACATATAGGCTTAAAATAAACTCCATCTAAGATTGTATTTTGTAAGTTTCTTTTCCTTTAGAGTAAAAGAAAATATTGAAGAAAAATACACCAAAATCTCTAAATGGACTACTGGGCTACATGAAAAAATGTGTCCTGCCTTAAACAGTAACTTCATCTCCTCATCTAATAACTATCCATTCTATAAATTTGTTGTATGCTGATATATCTTTTAGTGTTGGGTAACTATTAAAATTTTTTAATTGCGATTAATCGCATGATTTTCTGCGATTAATCACATAGTTATGCACAAACTTGAATAATGAATTCTAAAGTAGTGTATTGTGCAGTTTTAATTAAAATGTCTTGCTATATACACAAAAGTGCAATAATGTGGTTTGCAAACACTTAAAACAAATAAGGCTATTTTTCCCAGCAGTATTCCCTTTACACAGTAGCGATAAAATATTTCGTGTAAATCTCAATGTAAACATTAAAGAGTGGGTATTCTGCTGATTTTCAGGTTCATAATCTTATTTAGGGTTTGTACCAGAACAGGTTTACATGGTTTAATTTTTAAAAACCACATTTTCTGTCACATTGCTGCAGCTCCTCTTTTCACCCTGTGTGCTTCGTTTTAGCTATGGAGTGATACATCTTGCCTCTTATCACGTTAACATAGTTTTTATTATTATTATTATTTTGAAAGTCCGTTGCTTACTGGCTCTGAATACACATCCAGTCAAACTCTGGGTCACAGGAGGGGCGGGATGTTGATCAGCCTGCAAATCAACCATCCAAATAACCAGCGGAGGGAGGCTTCGGCAGACTACGCTGGATGCAGCGTGTGGGAGAAGCAGATAAACAAAAACAAGACAAGCGATCAAATGCCACAGCGCAGTGGATGCATGGTGATTAGTACTGGGGAAGATGTCAGATGTAGGAATGTTCTTAAAATCCCAACGCAGGGTTGCTCTGCCCTCCAGTGATATGACAGGAGACAAGTGATCCGCGAGTAAACGCCAGGCGCTCTACGGAAAGTAACCATGGCAACGGCTTCGGTGCATTACACAGCTGTACTAGCTGTCCTATTTAGTAAACAGTAATAGATTCCAGAAACTCAAAACAGCGAGGATCGGTCATAGACCGTTTATGTTGCTCCCTGATAAAAGAAAAATGTTTCTGCCGATACCTGTTCAGAAAAAAACAAACAAAGAAGAAAACAGATATATTATTATATTATTATATATTATAGCCTATATGTTAACTTGCTGCTCAGAAGGTCTGGACTTCTGGACTCTGACTTGTTTTAACAAGCTGGATAAAAGGTAATGCTTTGGTTTAATATTTGTTTTGATTACACTGTTTACTTTGAGATTTACACAACATATTTTATTGCTACTGTGTAAAAGGGAATACTGCTGGTAAAAAGCACCTTATTTGTTTAAAGACAAATGACATCTGACATTTAGTAAACAGCGTCCATCTTGACAGCGTTTGAGCACCAACATCATCGGTGTAAAACAGAGACCCTCCCGGGAGTCTTGCACTGACAGCTCAGAAAACTTGACCCATTAATAATGATTTTGGTGATTTGCAGTTGAAAATGTCTATGTTCAAATTGACTGAACATATGTAGATATCTATTTTAGATGTTAAAATATTACTTATTTCACATTTGATGAAATGCACACATACACTCACATAGCCTACACATTTGTTAAACCAAATGTATACAACTTTTAATATTTCTTGGGTTAAAAAAAAAATAATAACATGGCCGCAACCATATTGTTAACAGATGAAAAAACAAACACATTCACAGAGGCAGAATAGAATTTCATTTTGGAATTCATCTTCTGTAGTCTTATCAGCCGGGGACTTCATTTTCATGATAATATTTCTTCCTCTACAGTAATTACACTTGAGACTTCAGTTAAAAACACCTGCAGGAGTTTATCTGCAGCTAAAAGGAACTTATTGGAAAATAAAGAAAGCTAATAAGTACATAAAAATGAAAATCAATAATGCATTAATACCAAAAAGTGGCAAAATTGCGGTGTGACATTACATTAAACCAAACTAAGATCATGGGTCATCATTTATTTGCAGGGTGTTGTGGAGCATTTAGTGTTCTTCAGCAGAGTGGAGGTTATCTGCAAGATCAAGAAACGATAAGATTAAAGTCTGGAGACGCAAAGGCCCTGATTGGAATAAGGTTATTAACTAAAAAGCCACTGTGGAAGGAATCAAAGCTAAAATGGTTAGGACTGTAGTCTTGTTGGAAGAAAAGGTTCGGCACTGACTTGGAACAGACAAAAAAACAGATTTGGCCATTGAATTGAATGCAACATTGGTCTGTCAGAAGGGAAAAGGAGAACGCTAAATCAAAACCATATGCCCCAAATGTTTACAACACAGCAATTAAAGTAACAAAAACGTCCTCTGCTGTCTCACCTATAAAGCATCAGACACTGAGCTGGAAGAATAGGAGGAGCTTGACGACGGACATGCTGGTGGGACACTTAACTAAGAGAGAGAGGTGAGAAAGCAAAGAGAGACAATAGAAATATCATTTTGTTTAAAAATATTCTTAGTCCAGGGTGAAAACCTGAAAACTGACTCAGTGCTAGTTTGAAGCTAAATCACATTTTTAACCACCCGTGAAGGTTCCCAAAACTGCAGCTTCACTTCTAACTATGGACAGAATTTACTCCTGGCTAATCTGGTAAGTGCAGTGACATTCCTTCACAATGCGAGAAGGATGGAGCATTAGACTGAAATTCTTTGATTTGATATTCATAACTCAACCTCCTTTAGCGCTCGTGGGTTTTGGGCACTGACTTTCTTTTTGATGACTCTTAGACGCCTCCCGCTGGAGGAATTCCAGGCAGGTAACACCGTACAGCAACAGAAGTTAATTTCATTCATTCAGAGAAGATCCAGTAATTCTGTCTGACAGTCTATAGCTGAATGGGATAACCTGTATTTTTAAAACATGCGCATGGATGACATAATAAAATACTCAACGCTCTATTGTCCTGGTAGCAGCAACAGGGATCACTTCCATTGGTATGATTTGTATTGATCATATTCAGTTTAACAACGTAAAACTTCAATTAAAAGCAGAGACCCAATTACACACCTGTCCCTTTTACTGTCCTGGTGTGGCTACACATTTTGATAAATAAAGGCAAGTCTCAATTAGAGTTCTCTGAATGTATAACACCTCTTTAAAGTCCATTGGGTCACCAGCTTGAGCTAGTTCTAAGCGGTCAGTATGGACATGCTACACATCGTTAGATCCGTTAGACTCTCCACAGTTTAACCCTGTTAATTTTTTACGGAAAGAATTCTGATTTACTGTCATGGTAAACAAGGAAAAAAAAGGCCTAATTGTTATACAAGTAATAGTCATACTGGTTAAAATAAACAATTTGATAGTATCCTATTTCCTTTCTCTGCTAGTTTTGTGTGAGGGGGATTAAAGCCTGTCCCAAATGTAGGCTGGGTGAGTTCAGTGGTTTAAGGATATAAAAGCCCAGAGGATTAATTTAGGTTTTACGGTAGATGCTATAATAGGACAACAGAACACTTTTAAAACAATGTGTTAAAATTGCTGTCAGCATACAGTATCCTTACATAATCCCACAATAACTTGCTTTTACCTTTATATATTGTGTACCGTGTACTTCAGCTGTTGCAAGCTAATTTCCTCCGTAGAATCACAGTTTTTCATCATATACACAACACAGTGCTCTTGCTTTGATTGGCAATTTGTTTACGAACTATACGACTACACGTGTTTAATATAGAGGATCGACACTATAACAGGCAGAAACAGTAACTACATTCTACACGGAGAAGAAATCACTTGTCCTACCTGTTTATTGCTGAGTTCTAGTTTAGTTTCCAGTAACAGGACTCGGCTCATAAGATTTTCCCAGCTCTCTCTGGATATGGTGATGACTTGTGCTTCATTCTGGAATTGGATAAGATAAATAGAAAAGGTGAGGGCAATTTCATGTTGTATTCAATTTCCTTTGCTTCATGTGTAATTAGAAAAATCTATTAAAAGAAGTTATTAAAGAAGTAGAGTAAAGAATGTGTGTTATCAACCTTTTCTGTGTTTCTCTGTCTCTCAAGTTCCTCCAGGCGTTTCTCCAGGACACTGAGCCTGTCTAGCCCTGACAAAAGACTCTCTTGTTGAGCTTCCAGTGCCGAGAGCCTTCCTTCTGTCTCTGATGACTGAAAGACAGAAAAGACATGAAGTTACATGACATTTTATAATGGCATGTATTCAAACTCCTCTGGAAAGTAGTAGTACAAAAACTCAAACCAGATTCTAGGAAGCACTCGAATTAAGTAACAGGCAGAGGCTTTGATCCATGTTTAAACAACAAGTTACCTTTCTAGATAAAAAAAAATAAAATTCTGTTATGGTGAAAGCTGCAGCACATTTTTTAAACAAACGTAGTTTAACAAAATATTCATAATTTCCATTTACATCATCTTTACTGCTGGTGAAATATACAAAGATAATCAATCTTTACCATTTCCATTGTATGAGAAGTGGACTATGTCACAGCACCCTTTTTATTTAAATCATATTGGCAAAGTGGTTTAACTGAAGTTTAACTCTATTGGGCTGGGCGATAAGGCAAGAAAATGTTATCACGATAAAAAGATATTATATATATCATTCGATATTGATAATTTTCAGGATAAATGTTAAATCATTATTTCTTTCGAGTTTAAAGGCAGATTGTTCTGTTTAAAAAAAAAAACAACAGATGGTTAATTGTGGTTTTAAACTTTTCTTTATGGTCAGAAAATGACACTTGATGCCAAACAGTGGATCACTTAACAAATCTGAGGTACAACATTCTAAACTATTAGATAATTATTGTTTTATTGCATTCAGTTTCATCAATGACTAATTGATTCATTTAATTAAAGTATTTTCCATATCAGTGAAAATATATAGTTATTAATTACTGCATATATATGTTTTATGTTATGTCAAGAGATGACTTATGTATTTCACGTAGGTTGAGTATACTGTGCCACATCTACTGCAATCCTTGAGCCACTCTGTTTCAACAGGCCTCTGGGGGCTCCTGAGGAAGAAGTGGAGGGGTATTTGGGGGGGGGGGGGGGGGGGGGGGGGGCTCATGGTAATGGTAAATGGTCTGTATTTGTAAAGCGCCTTTCTAGCCTTTCAAACCACTCAAAATGCTTTACATCACATTCACCCCATCACATTCATACACTGATGAGCAGAAGCTAAGGTGCCAACTACCCACCAGAAACAGGAATTAACTCATTCATACACATTCACAGCAGGGAGCAATTTGGGGTTCTTGCTCAAGGACACTTTGAGTTTCTGGGGGGAGCCGGAGATCAAACCACCGACCTTGCGATAAGTGGATGACCGCTCTCCCCCTGAGCCACAGCCGTCCAGCTGGACTTGTATGACAGATGTAGCGCATGTTGTGATCCATTTCAGAAAGACCATAACACTAAATCTAAAAGGTTTCGGTCTAAATGGTGGAGAAATGCCGTATTTACTCAGCGTCTTCTCATTCGGACACGTAGTCTGATAATTGTATCCAAGTCCAAGCACAACTTTCAAAGCTTATTAAAGTAGGTCTACTTTATTAGTACAACATATAGAGCTCCTTATGGCTGTATCCATAAATATACAGCTTTGTTCTTGTTATGCAAGTTAAAAAATATGCATGAATATTTTCCATTGACATATAATAATGTATTTTAGAATCTGAAACAGCCCCGCGGCATTGCCAGAAAACTTTGAACCCTGTAAGAAGATAAAGAAAAAAAAAGCTTACACAAAGAATGTCATCCTTGTCCTTCTGCCCTCCTCCCAGCTCTCTGATCCCCATTCCAGGAGAATTGGGGGAGTATAAACCAGTGTGAGAGGTGTAGGTTACACTGTGGGAGGAGAATGCTTCCACATGGGAAGAGTCTGTGGGAAAAGTCAAGGGATTTTCAATGTGATTCACAAGAAATGGCCTCTCAGATACCTGAAACACACAAAAACACAATGCCATTCAACTACAGACATTTATTTCACAGAATCACATTTCTAATCATTCACCTTACTCACGCATCACACCTCACCCTCCTCCCTACTGTCAGTTACCCTTTGATATCCTTGTTAATGCTCCCATATATCCAGTGACTTCAACATAGCTTTAATGTGCCCGTGACCTTGTGCCAGCTAAAGGTTTCAGTGACTTTCAGGTAACCAAACACACCCTATGGCAGGAGCACATTCATGGCCCGCAGGTCTTTTGCCAGCTGATTGCATTTACAAAAAAAACTTGCTGAGAACAAATCCATTCATAATAGGCATGTGGTTTGTTTTGTGTAGCGGTCATATTGGCTTGTTAGCTAGGTATCTGTATATTTGAAAAGCCAACTTACTTTTTTTCTTTAGTAAGAGCCGATTACTTCAAATAGTACATGTCTACTCAGTAGTACAGCAGCAGTGTGGACGGCCCGCATTCATCAGATCCGGGTTTGAATCCTGGATAGAACACCATCGCATAATTGTGTCGGCCAAATGACTAAATGTTCTTGCCCGGTTTGGTCAAATAATATACAGCGAGATTTGTGTGAATTAAACTGTCTGTGCACATTAACTTAAGAAATAGACAAAACGCAAGGAGTCTCTGGTTACCACAGAGCAATTACTACGTGCTTATTACGTGGTCCCACATTTTGCTCACTAGGAAAACATGTTACTTTAAGTCAGTTTATCTTTTTAATGTAAATAATAGTACTAATTACAATGAAAAATAGATTATTGGTGATTCTAATTAATGGTGTAACTAAAGTGTGATTTGGAATAAAACAAGATTTCTAAAGTCGTGCAGTGCATGCCCAGGGCACTCAACTCTTCTGATGAGTGTTACTCGACAGAGTTTTATGCTTGGACAAAATGATTTCAGTTGTCTCCATGGTAACCTCCTTCAGTCTCTGGCTTTAAGTGAAGCTAATGTACACTGTTTAATTCACACAAATATCCCGCTGTATATTATTTGACCAGAACGTCTTACTTATTCATCAAACAGGCAAGAACGTTCCTTTTCCATGTACTCATTTGGCAGACATTATTATGTGGAAAAAAGTCACATTATAAAGTTTTTTTTTATCCAGGACTCGCTGTACTACTGTGTAGACATGTGCCATTTGAAGTAATCCGCTATTACTAAACGTGTCTTTCGTTGTCAACTTCCGCTCTGGTCCATTTCCGTTGTGGCTTTCGTATTAGCATTGTGGCTTTTGTATTTGGCTTGACATCTCTGGGCCACCGTAGAACTGTAGGCATTGCTGCATTTTAGAGGTCACGTGCTTAAGTTATTATATTATCATTGAGTGCTGCGCAATAGTATACAGTACCGTGTACTTTTAGTGGTGGTATAGAGCTACAATATACTTACAGTGTCTGCATTAGTCAGCGTCGGATGAACTTGTCCTTTGCCATCCTTGTACGAGGCTGGACATCTGACTCTGGGCTACAACACACACACAAACACACGATATAGAATTGCTGTTTGTTGAATGTTTTTTTGTCTGCTTTGATATTTCAGGTCTCCTCTAAACTTAATTAATGTCAACAAACAGATAGAACACATGATTCATTTTAGATCTGTGGGATTTAATTTAACGCCAAGCGTAATGGCTGTACCGGCTATTACGACCATCCATTCGTTAAAAGCAATGTTTCCCCTATATGCATTCAGGAGCGGTAATGCCCCGCTGCTAAAATTTCACACACAATCATTAGGCCTATTATATCAATGCACTACTGATATTCACTCACACACTATGCGAACACATTAACACTCATCGCTTGGCTCGCTTCCTCTCTTCATTCTTCAAAGGACATCTACGTGACAGGTGCTTTTAGCCTGTAAGAGCAATGTAACTCTTGTGTTTGATTGTCCGAGGGGCAGAAAGTGATGGTGAACGTGAGAGGAGGAAAATATTCTGGCAGTAAATGTACTGTGTCGGCTATGGTGTGTTAGCTTCTCAAGACCAAGAAAAGTCTGTTGTTTCCCCAACTGCTGTAAAAGTGAAGCCACTTTGTGCTAAGTTAGCTAACATCTTACCCTCCCCTTCAGACTATGTAGCTGAGCAGGAAAGCTTATACAGTAGGCTACGTCTTGGCTGCTATGTCTTAATAATAATAATAATATTTCATTTTATTTGTGCGTGCCTTTCATAGCACTCAATACATTTCAAGGAGGCAAATACAATAACAAGAAAAAAAACAAGGTAGGGACGTCGTACGGATGAATAGAGGGAGGGAGTTCCTATGGTGAGGTGCACAATAGCTAAAGGCTCTGAACCCCATTGTGGACATGCGGGCAGGAGGAATGGAAAGTAGTGAGGAAGAAGAGGATCGGAGAGTTCTGGATGGATGTAGGGCTGAAGGAGTTCAGAGAGATAAGGAGGAGCAAGATTATGGAGTGCTTTGAAGGTGAGGAGAAGAACTTTAAAATCAATTCAGTATTTGACAGGGAGCCAGTACAGTTGTTTTAGAAGTGGAGTAATGTGTTCAGAGACTGGGGTTCTGGTGATATTACAGGCAGCAGAGTTTTGGACCAGTTTATGAATGAAATTTACGAGGTAGACCAGAAAGAAGGGAGTTACAGTAATCAATACGGGAAGTGACAATAGCGTGAATGAGAGTAGCAGTGTTATGTTGTAAGTGAAGGACGAAGACGGTTTATCGTGCGTAAGTGGAAATAAGCAGACCAGGTAAGATTATTAATGTGTTTTTCAAAGGAAAGTACTGTCGAGGATGACATCAAGACTCTTGACATGGGAGGAGGAGGGGACAGTGGAATTGTCTATGAGGAGAGCGAAATTTGGACATTTTGCTAGGGTGGATTTGGAGCCAACAAGAAGAACTTCAGTTTTATCACCATTTTGTTTGAGGAAGTTTTGAGTGAACCAGGTTTTAACTTCATCTAAGCATTCAGTTAGAGAAGACAGAGGGAGCATAGCCGTAGGTTTGGTAGATAATTAGAGCTGGGTGTCATCAGCATGGCAGTGAAATTGGATATTATATTTCCTGAGAATAGAACCAAGGACTGATCCCTGAGGAACACCACTGGTGACTGGGGAGGGTTGTGATTGAACATTTTTAAGTTGTACAAACTGAGTGTGGCCATGCAGGTATGATGTGAACCAGTTCATTGATGTGTTGATGATATTAGCTCAATTTATTAGTCTACAGCTCTGTCCTGTACAGACTGGTTCAGCGGGGTGGTGATGGCGTATAGATAAGATGCTTGCCTTTGGTGTGGAAGAGAGACATCCACCATTGTGTCCGTGAGCAAGACACTTAAACTCTGACATGTATAGCAATTGTAAGTCGCTTTGGATAAAAGCGTCAGCTAAATGAATAAATGTAATATAATATTAGGAAAAGAAAGGACGGTGGTGACTGGAGGACCTGAGGTTAGTAAAGTTAATTAGTGGTCCAAACTAGTCCTTTTAAGCTAATGAGGATATGTTTTTTTGGATTTTAGTGTGCAAATAAAATGCACCCCAGAAGGGAAGTTGTTTCTCATGTTTCCTATTTTTTTAATTTTTATTAATGTCTATACAGATAAATATCACAAAGAAATGTTCAAAGAAATGGTGAAAAAATTTGGCCAATATGAATTTTTAAATATTTTTCATTGGAAAACTTGAAATTTTCTTGGGGGAGGACCCCCAAACCCCTGACCATAACTACCACGACCAACACCAAAACATTCCCCTAAAGCGCACATTAAACTGGGAAAACATTGAAATTTGAACAATTCTAATGTCCATCGCATGCTCATGGACACAAGAACAATACTGCTGAGACATGTTGTGTTGGGGTTTTCTATTCAGACATACTACGCGCACAAAAAAAATTTTTCCTTCACCTCCACTGCTACAACTCCATCCTAGGGGAAACACTGAAAAGCTTTGGTTGTCCAACAACCAAAGGATGCAGGCCTAACCTGAAAAAAACGCAAGTGAGACTGATTAACTTTCTCTCACCTGCAGAGGCCAGAGAATACCAGGCCTTTATTTAGAAGTAGGGATGCACTGAAATGAAAATTCTTGGCCGAAGCCGAAAATGAATATAATGAAAAAAACCTCACAGTAGATTTTATGTCTATACAAATCAGCTTCCTATGATATGTAGATTCCTACATCCCATATGTTTTTTTACCCTTTCAGATCTACACTCATACATGGCCTCTCTTGAATGCGATAAATGGAAATCCATTATAGTGACAGAGAACTTTAATCTCAAGACTTCAAATGTCTTGTAACACTTTTTTATATGGTTTTATGCATTCTTCATTCGGCACTGGGGGTGGTTTTAGACTAAGGGGTATGTGAGCTACTGCTGGCTTCAGTAGCCATAATTCTGTGGGATATTTTGCAGATGATAGTAGGTTCTTACACATCTGCTCTTCGGTAACTAAACCACCTCAATCTGATCAACCTGCTGTCATTTTTTTCTGGAACTGATGTTTAATTAGTTTGGAGAGTCTGTGGAAGAGAGAGTCTCTCCTGCATGTAAACGGTTGTGGAAAGCGCCTGCAAACTCTCAACACATAATGAAATAAGCGCAAAACACACAGGAGTTGAAGTAATTGATTGTAATTACAAGGAGACCACAACTTTAACCCAAAGTCAGTCAGGGGTGCAACTCTCAGATGTTAATATGATACACTTTTATAGCATTTCAAGACAATAACTACATTTGCTTGGCCATCTGCCCAAAGAACTTTCATCCTATCATAAAAAGCAATAGGGCTGAACGATAAATCGTTTTCTACTTGAAATTGCGATATAAAAGAATGCGATTAGCTAATCGTGAAGACGGCGATTACAATGTAGGTTAATTATACAGTGCATCTGACGCAGTTACAAATTGATTCCGTTGTCATCCTTGTGTGACAGATCTGTTCGCCAATCACAAGCGCCGTGCGCCTCCTGTTATGGTCATGCTCACAGGGCGTGTGCATTTTACAACAACAAACGAAACTAGATGAAAACATGGGATAATTGTGCTGGTGGAACCGACACAGGCAGCGGCTGTGCTGCAATTTTGTCCGGTGTCAACTCACACTGAAGTGTTTCAGCAGCGAAGCGTTTAGCCTACACGTTGTTGATGTGTTGTTAATTTGCAATTTTGTGTGCTTCAACTACTGCTGTCTGTGAGCCTGTTTGGTTCCACTCATATCCTCATGGAGCATTTGCCTGTCTGATTTTACTGACATACAGATTTTGCTTATTTGTTCAGTTGTCCTTGATTTTTGTTCTTCTACTATGGTCAAGTAGGCTACGTAGTTAAATTGTTTCTTTTTTTGCCTGTTTTAACCAGTGTTGGGAGTAACGTAGACAGACAGGTGACCAAATGCATTACTGTCATCAGATTACTTTCATCTGTATTTGCAGTAATTTAAGGGTGAGATTAGCTCCCCTTAATAAGACATCAGCTCCCCTAAAAGCATGATTTGTGATATTCTGGGGGGGGGGGGGGGGGGGTCTCTATAATATTGACCACATGCTTTGAAATGAACCTCTATATTTCTCTATCATTATGGATCATGTGGAGCGTCAGACTTCATCCAGCCAGAGGGAACGATCACCGACCATCCGCAGTGGGCCGGTGGCTCTGCGATCTCTTGGATTATTCCCTCTGGCTGGATGAATATTACACATGATCTATGCACTACTGCAGCTAAGGGGTTCTCCACAGCGCCACGCAACTTTCTAAATTCTTCCCTCTCACGGAGAAAAGAAATAAATGTTTCCAATGAACTGTCCAAATAAAGTTTTAAGCATTATAGTAGGCTACTGTACTCTAGCCTTGTTCTTCTCTTGACAAATGTTTGGCTGATGTTCACATCTTTGTTGTCAGCTTTGTGGTATTAAAGAGCATAAAAGAGAGATCCTGTGTATTTCTTCATTATAATAAAGATTTGTGTTGATCTGGGCATACATGAGGTGTAACTTTATTGTTATTGTGCATCACAGGTTATGTTATGCAGTAATCCAAAAGTAATGTAACTAGTAGTGTAACTAATTACTTTCAGCAGTGAGGCAAAGTAAGGCATTACTTAAAAAAAAAAAAAAAAAAAACAACTAGTAATGTGTAATCCATTACCTTTTTTTGAGTAACTACCCCAACACTGGTTGAAACTGTGTTTATTGTTGATGTACGATCAAGAGTCTGCAAAGGGTGTTTTATTTTGAAAATCAACTGGATTCTCTATGCCGTTCTGTGTCTGACTTCCTGCCTGGTTCATCTGCTCTGTGCTGCTTGACGCGGCTTCCATCAAAAATAGACCGGCAGAGAATATTGAACTTTAGCAAAACTTAAAAAAAATAATAATAAATGGCAAATCGAATCGTTATCGCAATATCTGGCAGAAATATCGCAATTAGATTTTTTCCCCCCAAATCGTTCAGCCCTAAAAAGCAACTCGTATAGTATGATCTGAACATACTTGGTCCATGCTCTGAAGTTACTTATATCATGTACAAGAACACCTGGTTCCACTTAACATGATGTCTCAACAGCTCCCTGTAAGGGCCTCATCTACACATTCCAAGACCAACACCAGAATTAAACAAAGCCACACAATGGTTCAAGGGGCCACGTGTACTTTTCAGTGGCCTCCATCAGAAAGGTTTCAGATTGCAGCCACTACTGTCCCAAGCGTGTGCTTGTGCGTGTCCACGAACTAATGAGTGAGCCAAAACAGAGACTGACACACCGGAGACAGCATCACACTGCAACGTTACAGTAATATTTTATCAGCTTGATGTTGAATCCATCCACTGCATTTCGCTGACATGATACATCTGAATATTATAAATGAGATTGTTTCCACACATTCTAACAGTTAGACCACAGTAAGTAACATTACTGTAGTGAATGGGTCTTCTACCGCGTGTCCTGCACTTTTATGTTGTATTATTGTGTGTATCTCTCTCAATAAGGTATTTAGAAAAATGTCAAATGTAAAAGTCTTTACTTGTGTGAAACATAGATTGGAGGATATTTGTTTACATTTTGGAAAATTAAGTTAGTCAAATGAACTAATAACAGTTTTTTGCTGTGTGCTATCACTGAATTACTTAAAAACTAGAGGATTCTCAGGCATGTTCTGAAGCGTCCCCATTCCTGTCCCTGTCCAACTAAAGATTTTCCTAGTCCACACATTAATGATATTAATTTAGTTATTTAAATATATATTTTTGGGGCATCCGAAAATTGATATAGTGGATACTGCCACTCAACAGAAAAGGTCCGTGTTGCATCAATCCTGATACTTTCATCTTAGTCGGCACCCCAACAAGGGCCACTCGTCCATCCTCACCAGCATCACCTTCTCTTGCCAGGATATTCCACTTTCAACATCAGCCGCCAACCTGGGTGTTAGAATGGAATCTCATCTGACCCTCTAGGCTCACATCAAACATCTGCGCAAGACCTTCTTCTTCCACCTCAAGAACATGCCCAAACTCAGTCCCACACTCAATCGGAAAAGCTTGTCCACACCTTTGACTCCTCCAGGCTGGACTACAGCAATGCACTTCTCACCGGGATCCCTGGCAAAAGCTTCCAGAAGCTGCAGTAAATCTAAAACAGCGCTGATCCTGTTGAGGGTGCGCAAGCACGACCACATCAGCCCTGTCCTCAATGGGCCAAATACAGGCAGGGCAAGGCAGTTCAGGTGGTCTTCCCGGGGGACGATCCATGAGGCCGGGCAGACCAGGAGGGCCACAGAGTTCAGGAGGCTGTCCCGGAGGACGACCCAACAGGCCGAGTAGAAGAGGGGGGCCACAGAGTTCAGGAGGCCGTCCCGGAGGACGACCGAGCAAGTCAGGCAGATCAGGCAGGAGACTAAGATTAGGTCGTCGTGCTTGAGGACGACAGAGAGAACAGGGCCTCACCTGAGGCCAGACAGGTGACCGAAGAAGGTGAGACCTCTTCGGAGGATGGGCTGGAGACCGGCGTAGGAGGCCTACAGGTCTCACTCCGCACCCATCAGTGCATCCATAGAGATGGATCGAGTTTAATAGGATACTAACTGCAAATTTGCATACTGAGTGATGTGATCACTACTCACTTTAGTTTTATTCATAGTTTTCTGTCACATGACATACGCGTTGACCTGGAGGGCAAAACAACAGACCAAGATAGCGGCTCACACCGGACTCCCTTGTAGAAACGCTGTTAAATTTTATTTGGATCACCTCTCAACTCAAGAAAAATATGTATAGACACAAACTGCAAGTGTTGGGCACTTGCGATCCATATACAGCACCCGCTGCAGTATTTTCACCGTTACAAACCGCTAGGTCCCTGCCAGCGCACGACTGCGGTAATATTTACATTTACCTTGTAGGGAATCCCTCACCTGACACAGCTCAGGCTCATCTCCTCGTTGATTAGTGCATCCGAAAGCACAACAACCATCCAGCATTTTAGCAACACAAAAGTAACTCAAAGTAACAGTGTATCACTTGCTTCCTCGTCGGCTGGCAGCGGAAAATAATTATAATAATTCAACAATTTGGTGTCACTAAACAGAACTGTTCAACTGTGTGGTTTAATGATCTTTATGATCCAAAATCCCAGATTGTTCTATAACCAAACACAGAGATGCTTTGCTGCCTTTAATGTTACAGATACAGTTACAGATTGTGCAATCTGCATTTAAGAGTCACATAGACATGTAAAATAATCCATTGAAAGGCTCTGTACCTTCTTTAGTTGGTTGTGTTTCTGCACAACCAAGTCAATGACGTCACAGATGACAGATATTTTCCTTTGAGAGAAACCCCACTGGAGGAACTGCTGTTTGGTCAGAATAGGCTTATAGTGGAAGATATCTCGTAGTACCTAAACACAGACGAATGGATCATTACAGGCTAGTGGCAGGCATCTTGACAGAATTTTGTTATACTTTACAATAGTCTTTGTGCAACTGAGAAAACAGCACTCAGAATGTGTTACCTTATAAAGAGTGTCAGTGAATCGTAGGTCAGTTTTGCCAGTCAGCTCCAGTCCCGCCGCCATGAGTTGCCCAGCAATAGGTGGAGAGAAGGAGGTGAGTGCGAAGCTCACTATTGGTAGAAAAGCAGAGGGATCTCCTTTGGAAAGGCTAGTGAGGAAACAACAACGTACAAGACAACTGAGAAAATGGATAATCTGATATGCAATGTTCACACTGCTCAAACATTTTAATCACAGCTCATAGGAGTGCTAAAATCAGATTCACACACACAAGTGTGCTAAGGCAGAGAGTGACAATCAAAATCAGTCGCTACAGAATCACAAATTTCTACAGTGTGTCAGAACTGCATAAGAACATATCTGGCAAAGTCAATAACACAATCTAACTTCATAATCTCAGACTACTTAATAAATAATTTTATATTTATATTACTCTAAGTGAATCTGGAATAGATGTTCTTTGTTCATATTGGGCCCAAAACAAAACAAAGATACTGACCTACAGGTTATCCGGCTATGCAACAGTTGTCACGTGGATTATTTGACAGATATGTGCACTGAAAGAGACTCTATAATGCATATTTATCTGAACAGACTCTAATTCAAATGGTGCTAATATGCATTACATGATGGATGTGCTATAATGGTGTGGTGCATTTGGTATTAATTATGGAATAAAATTTGGTCCGATATGCACTATAACAAACATTAGGAATGCCTGCCAGCCCTCAAGCCAACATATCATACTCATTACTGTGTTGTTCTTTATTTTTTGTTTGTATTGGATATATATGTCTGTGCTGTTACTACTCAACAATGCAAAATATTAAAAAGAAAAACAAGTACAAGGGAAGAAAAGGTCTGGAGTGCTCAAAGGTCAACAAAGTGTAATGAAGGTGCTCTTTGGTGGGGGACAAAGAAGAAAGGTCTAAGGCCCTCTTCTGGCAAAAAAGTATGTCATGGTAAGAATCTGAACACTGAACAAGAAGCCAATGAGCTCACAGGTGAGCATGATCCATGGTTCCAAACCATTTTAGAATAAAAGGTGAATGAAGGCAAGTCTGTGCCCATGTGCAGTAGCTGCTCAGTGTTACACTAGAATAATAATGATGTGGTTACAAAAGGCTTTCCACACACACACACACACACACACGACTTTGTGTGTTATTCTGAGAATGACACAAAGTCATGGGAGCCTTTTAGGGCTCATGTTAGACAAGTTCACTGTCTTTAACAAAGACAAATGTCAGTCGTAGTACCTGAGGCAGAGGCCATAAAATTCTGGTGTTCATAATAACCAAACAGAAGGTAAAGTATAACCGGTTCCATTTAAGCAAGATTAAAAAAAAATTTAAAAAGTGTCATAAAAAAGGTATGAGAATTTCTTTCCATTTGAGCATACTAGACAATTTGAGTTCATCCTGAGTCTATCAATATCAATAATATTCAACTAACTACTTTGCTTATCGTTCTGCTAGGTTAGTGTTAAATCACCCTTTATAGTATTTTCAAAAATAAAATAAATGTTTCACAAATCTGAAAGTGTGTTTTAAAGAAAGTTTAGCGTTTCTGGAACAATCTGGTCCAGATTTGACAGCTGCGAACCGGAAGCTAACTTCAGCCTCGTGTTGCTGTTTGGTTAATGAACTGTTAACGTTATGTCGTGTGTTGTTAGAGGGCCTCTGTGTCCCTGAAGTAACGTTAGCTTTACGGGAAGTTTAATGGCCTAACTTAGACTTAACTTACCCGTTGTAGTCGACATGCCCGGTGTACTTTATCACCCGCAGGAGAGTTTCCAGTTTACGAAGACAACCTTGCACATCTCCAGTAGACAGCATTTTATCTGCAACCTAAGCGAGACAGAAGCAGCAACTTCATTTGATTTGTTATAACAAAATATTAGCTAGCTAACGTTATATTTTAAAACCGAGGTTAGCTAAAACAGAGTTACAAAAGCGCAACCCTAACGTTAACTACTTCTCTTTAAAGTTGTGCTTGAATATTAATCCACAATCACTTACTGTTCCAGAAAGTGCTGCAACTCGACGACTTGACGATAACTTGACTCGCTGTTTTTGTTTCTGCCGGGTTCACCAACAGCACGAAACATGATTGGCTGAAGTCTTTCACGCAACGTAACGACTTGACGTCAGCGACGTTGGCTGTACGTACACTACTTTCTGCTTTTTTGTGTTTGTTGTTCTGTTTACTTTATTAATTTGTCACATGCGGCGCGTATTTACGCATAAAACGAGCACGTTTGATTCATTATTGTAAAATTAAAAATTGTCTTTCAGTACATCTGTTTATTTTTTTTTAGTGATGACGGAAGAGAACAGGGGAGGGGCAGAAGTGACAGGAGGAGGGCGAAAAAAAAAAAGATGATGTTTGTTAGACAACAGTATGAAATGTTCCTCCTGAACCAAATGAGCAGCTGCCCTGTTTTTATTTGGTCTTGTTTTGATGATATGACAACCGGCTACGTTTGATAGCAGAGAAACCGCGTTCCAGCTGTCCTTGTGTGCAGGTCAGGTTGTCAGTCAGAGGAAGCCCTAAACTCAGGTAGGTAACGTTAGCTCGGGTTACGCCGCTTTGTCTTACTCATCGTGAAATAGTGCGTCGTGTTTGGAAAAGAAACGCTAAAAATGTCCCTTAATATGTCGGCAAAAAATCAGTTTTTGCCGACACTGTGTCAACTTAAACTAGCTCGGGGAGCTAACTCGGTGTTTTTAGGAACACATCGTGAGTGACAGCCAAAGCGGCCAATCGCGTTTTACTTTGAATGCCGTCGCGATGTGTGTGGCCAATGGTGTTGAAGGGAAGGCGGGACTACGGGTCAAACTACCGTGCTCGATGGAACTTCCACAACAGTGTAATAGATTTGTTTATGCGACGCAGCCGAGCTGACGTTGGACAGGCTGAGACATGGAAAAGACGACAGGTGGTGGAACTTACACGCTAATATTGAGGTTCATAAGCGCGGGGGAACCGGGGACAATGCTTTGAGCAGATACTGTCATTAATATTTCAGTTACACGTCAGTGCAGTCTGGCACAAAACACTAGAAGCACTGTGAAATCTTGTTTAATATAGGAAACAACAAAGTTTTATGACTGCCACACGTCTCTTGTTAACAAGATGGACTTGGAATATGTTACAGATTGGCTCCCAAAACAGTCAATTAACAATATGTCTATCTATCTATACACATTTAATTCAGCCTTAAGAGCACAGAAGCTCAAGCACCTAAAGCCAAAGTGCTGCATGCACATTTTACCTGCATGCTCTCACAGTTAAATCAGTCTGCTTTATACCACTTTATTCATTTTATTCCCCCCCACACAGTTTTTCTACTAGAACATCATGCAGGTGTAGATGACATCATGTGACCCAAATATATAATCCGACTTTTTAAAACTCAATAAATAGTGTCTGTATTTTATACGAAAACACAATCAAACTGAATCAAAATCTGATCTACAGAACGCTACAGCGCGAGCAATTTATGTGTGATTAAACAGGACAGTGAGAGGTTGTCTGACCCATTTAAAGTTGTTAAGTTCTCATTAAAACAGAAGTTTTACCGTGAAACCCAATGTAACAAATCAGCCAGAGGAAATTATAATAACAGGAGGTATATATATTTCCATCTCAAGCTCCAGAGCGAGTAGGTAGATTTTGTATAAAACCTGTGATGAATTGTTGAATTTGCTAGTGGATAGTGTGACCAATATGATCCATGACTCTCAAACATTCTGCCTAGTGGTTTATACGTTGCTTGAAGTACAGTGGACATACAGTAAGATTACATGTACAGTGTTTTAGGTATGATATTTTATATTAATCAATGAACAAAGTGTGAAGGAACTTCCACCATGCCTGTAGACACTCTTTCTTGTACCGCACTCCAGCTCTTCGGCGAACGACCTGCCTTCTGCTACAGCCAAATATTCAACTCAGATGTTGACTCGTTAGTCCAGAGCACCTGCTGGAATTTTTCTGCACTCCAGTCCCTGTTTTCCTGTGCATAGTTGAGTCTCTTGGCCTTGTTTACATGTCTGAGGCTCTTTGGCCTCAAGTCTTCCATGTACGCCACTTCTGACTAGACTTCTCTGGACAGTAGATGCTGTACCAAGTGACTTTGAGTGAATGTCTTCATGATTGGTGATAATTAGCACCTGTTTGGTATGATTGTTTAATCATACACCTGACGATATGCCTATACCATCCCTGACTTTGTGCCAGTGTACCTAGAAGAACTCATGATGTTTTGAAGGCATAGGGTGGTCACACCAAATGTTGATTTGATTTAGATTTTTCTTCTGTTCGCTCAGTTTGCTTTTTGTTCATCGATGAATATAATCTATTAACATGTCTAGTTTTGAAAGCATTCTTACTTTACAGCATTTTTTCCACACCTGTCTGAAAGTCTGTATGTAACCAAGATATTTTAATGCACAAATATAACAAGACAGTAAAAAAACCACAGAAATTACTGCGTGTTAACATGCTGGTGCCCGAGAAGTTGTCTTACTGTGCTGATAGATTGAGCAATACTAATCCTGTGAGGTCTAAATGAGAAGAAGGACAACAGGGAAAGTGTGCAAGCAGAAAGACTTTCTTGTATGGTGTCACTGTGCTGCCTTTATAGATGGGTCAGGCACTGTGGAGGCTGCCTCCCAGACAACAGCAGCAGCTTCAGGAAGAGCTTGCCGACCGACTGGCTGACCAAGCGGGAGGTCGAGAGCAAGGTAATCAGAGCAAGACTGTTTGACATTAATGCTTTTTATTTAATGTATGAGCGAAAATATGAGCTTGGTTACAAGTAGTTTTCATCAGTAGTTGTTTGTTACCTTCGCTTTTCTTGTTCAGCCTTTCTTGTTGTGCTCTTCCCTGCTCTTGTTTGCTATAAATTTGACCCCACCTGGCTGTTCTCGTTCCTGCGTTTCTTGTCATATCAGTTTGTCTTGCTGTTGTTTCGCTCCAAGCAATCTGTCTCCTCTTTGACAAAATCTGAAGTTCTCTCCTTTTGTATTTAAAATGAATCCCTTACAGTGTCATTAAGTAAGTAAGCAAAAATAAATGTGTTTTAGACAACATATTTGTTACATATACAGTATAATGGGCCATTATATTTATTTTTTACAGTTTACCAAATAAATACTGTACATGGATAATGAAGACAATAATGAAGAAAAAGGTTTTTTATTATTAAGTTAAATTGTAACAACTCAGTGTACCTGGTCAATCTTTAGCCACAATGCATGCTGGGATAGTCTCCAACAATAGTTTAAAAAGGTTAAGACATTAAATGAAAAGAAAATTAACCCGATTATTTTTCTCTTGTTCTAGGGAGGGATGGATGTCCCCAGAGAAGAGCTCCTCAGCACTGTTACGGCCCCGACATCTACCATCTACTCAGAACACGCATGGGAGGTATGAACGCAAACACACACTAAGGGTTACTAACTCTCTCTCTCTCAGCTCGCTCCCATCACATATTTTGAGTGTATTCTTGGGTTGGTCGGTGTTGATGATGGTTGCCCCTCCTCTTTCCATTATTGTGCGTACAGTCGGCTTAGCTAGAAATAACAGAGACTACCTTAAGACATTACTTCAGTTGATTCAGACACAGGATGATACATAATCCTGCATCATTCATGTTGCCTTCATTTACATTTCTTTCTGTTCAATTAAGTTTCCACCGAGGCGCAGGAGTGACCACAAATATTTAGCATATTACTGCATAATCTGCCATTTTGTACATATTCTTTTTTATGCACCAAGACACCCAAAGTAAATTCCTTGCATGTTTAATCCTACTTGGCAATAAAGCCAAAGTGGCCAAAGGTATTTGGAGGCAGCTAGAGAGAGAGAGAGCTGACGGACCGGTTGTTCAGCTTAGTGAATCGGGGATTTAACCCATTTAGTGCAGTATGCCTCATTTTCTTCTTCTACAAAGAAAACCTGGGCTGCTATAGTACCAGAGTACAAACGCAGTGACACAACACACATGGATGTTAGCAGCCAGGTATCCATTTGATTTTTTTTGAACATTACTTCCAATGAGTTGTGTGGTCTTTCCTGTGTGTTTGAGCGTGTTCTTTAAATGAGATGTTTCTTCTCCTTTAAGTTTGCCTGTTTGCCTTAAATGCAGTAATGTTAAAGAAAGCCATTCTAGTAGGAAAGAGAGGTCTTTGCAAAAATATATTTGCGACACTGTAAACAAGACACTGTGAGCAAATTATATTAAAATTACTTATGAGAAGAAAAGACATTTGATGGACCTTGAGGAAGGAAAAAGTTCTATGACATCGGTTTTAGCGTATCCCGGCCGTCATTGGGTGAGAGGCACTGTTCATCAGGGTTAACTTGCTGACTTGAAACATTCAGATTGTACACGTGTTTCTGATGCAGCTGTCACTTCACTTGTTTTCTTTCTTTGTTGTCTCCCTCTTGCTGACTGTAGGTAAAGAACATCATGGTTTTATAGATTTGGAGATGTTGCCACCTGAATTAGGCATCACCATATTGTCTTATCTGAATGCTACTGATCTGTGCCTGGCCGGCTGTGTGTGGCAGGACCTGGGAAATGACGAATACTTATGGCAGGGGTAAGGAGGTCATATGTTTGTGGGGATTAAAACAATGAGGTGGTGTTTTGATTCATGTTCAAAAAAAGCGTCTTTGTGACCGGCAAAGAATCATCATCCTGAGCAGTGTTTTGTGTGATCTGCCATACCAAAGACATTTTATAGAGGAGACGTGCCACTCAATCACATTCTCAGTACCACTCTATGGGGAAAGCCTGTAACGGCAAACATGGCGGTTATCCCGCCCCTCCCGCTAGAAAGCCAATCGTCTGCTTTTAACAGCCGAAGCGGGAAACATTTCAGCCAATCGTGTAAGGCTCTGTTTTACTTCGTGGTTCATGTGTAGTAGAAGTATAACCGGTGGTGGAAAAATGTCTTTTAAACCTTATTTTGAGGCAAAGACTTCAAACTATTTCAGCGATTTTTATCAGATTTTATTGCTGATTCTAGTTTTTATGTCCCGGTGACCAGTAAAAGTGCAGTTCTAGCTCTCTCCCCATTCATTCAGAGAGGAGCCTGGTCTTGTTAGTCCCAAATAGCTGCCCGGAGGCGTTGCCAAGATGGCGGCCGAGTGGCAGGACTTGCCTATAAAGACTTTGGCCATACTCACGTACAAAATGAATGATGACAGATAGACAGAAAGTTCAAGGTATTGAAAATAAATTACATTTTTTTGTGAAGTGGCGACTGCACAGGTGTAACTGTCAACGGCTGTCTTTTGTTTTTGCCTCATTTAGACAGTAAAATTCTATTTGTTTCTATTTCTATTCTATAACCCACGTGTGTCTGTCCATCAGGCTGTGTAAGTCCACATGGGGACACTGCTCCATCTACAACAGAAGACTTCCTGCTGGTTTCTCATATAGAAGACTATACCTACAACTAGATGAAGGCAGCCTGACATTCAATGCTAACCCACAGGAGGTAACACATGCCCAAACATTCATCAGCAAAATCAGCAAATAAAACAAAACCTCTGCTTCTAGCCAACTAAAACTAACTGACAGGTCAGTTACAAAGATAACAAGGTAAAACAGTACCTAACTATGTACCTGCTATTAAAAAAAAACAAAACAGAAAGATAACAAAAGAGGTAGCCACCCCTCGCTGCGATATGATGGATGTGGACTGATGCGGGGAGGCAGGGTGGGAGAAAGAATCAAAACAAGGGGTCCAATCCCAGGGGAGATGCAGTCAGGAAATCATGTCATAATCACATCAGATCAAACAATGAAACACTAAGTCCAGAACACCTCTACTGTACAATAAATTCTTCTTTCTTTTTGTGTGTGTAGGGCATCAGCTATTTCATGTCTAAAGGTATACTAGTGGATCATCCGACCGAGCTGGCTAAGTTCATCTTTTACACCAGACGGCTCAACTGGAAAATGCTGAGGATTTACCTGGATGAGAGGTTAACACACACACACACACGCAGAATACCCAGAAAACTCACTACTAGACTATAATGGCAGAAAGCTCTGTGACAGCAGCTGCATTGTGCGATACTTCGTACCCTTAACCTTAAATGTTGAATAAAAATCCAGTGAGAGGGGAGTGGTGTTTATTTAGTGTCTGTAAAAGTCAGTATTTGTTTATGTCTGTGTGTGCAGGCGGGATGTCCTGGATGAGTTGGTGACCCTCCATAACTTCAGTAACCAGTTCCTCCCCAATGCTCTACGGGATTTCTTCAGACACATCCACGCGCCCGAGGAGAGAGGAGAGTATCTGGAAACCCTCATCACCAAGTTCAGCCACAGGTTTTGTGCCTGTAACCCTGGTCTTGTCCGAGAGCTCGGCCTCAGTCCTGGTTAGTGATTGCACACATATATACAGAACACATGCTCTATGTTAAAGGTTTTTGTAGTTGTTGTGGTCCCAGGCTTATCGGTATTAATAAAATAATGGATGCTGGTATAAAGCCTGGTCTGTCCTGATCAGTGTAAAATCTAAGCATGTTACTTGCCACTTGTTTGTTTTAAGTCAAATCAATTTCATTTATATGTCCCAACCTACAAAATCACAAATTTGCCACAAGCAGCTTTGCAATCTCTATCCTTAGACCCGCGGTTCAGATAAGTACAAAGCCCCTTTTAATGGGGACAAAGAGCAACAGATGAGGGATCCCTCTCCCGTTATAGCAAAATTTGATTGTGTGTCAACAAACAAACAGAAGGTTAGAGAGATGCAGTAGTTTTCTGAAAGTTTACAGTGGCAGTACAAGCTTGGGCTGTAAGTACCAGGCTTCATAGATTGACTGAGACTGAGCAGCTTGAAGGATAATAGTAAAGTAAACTCCGTCAGACTGTCTGATGTCAGCTGGGAGGTTATCCCAGAGCACTGCCTGCTTCTTTTTGGCTGAAGCGGGGCGAACCCGGTAAGCTCTGAAGTCTGTCCCTGATTTACTGAGTGAGTGGTGACGTTACACCATTGGTTGGTCGAGTGTTGGAGTTCAACCTTTGGCCGCTGCTCTTTCAGAATTAATAGGTGCAAACAGTTCTGAATCACTTATATCTATTGACAGAAAAATATGATTTACTCAAATGTAGATTTTACTGCTTTGCAACTGAAATCCGTTTAAAATCCTTGAGATATATTAATAGTAAATATTGATTCATTCATTTTCTCCTAACTTAGGTTATTTGCTTAAATCAGTATTGTGGCTGTCATGTTTTCCACTGAAATGTAATGAACAAATGTCATATTCTGCAGCGCCTGTAGACATCTTGGAATTTTTGTATTCAACAAAGTGAGAGAAAAAAAACCTCACAATGGGTACCTCGTCTCTGCTGATCAAATGAGAAGATAGTATCAAACGGAGGCTTTAGTCTGCTGTGTTGAGTGTGGGCTGAATTACAGAAACGCCTCTGTGTATTATGCAGTACAATTCAACACCACCACAAACTGAACATTATAACCTTCATGCAGAAGATAGGATTTAATGCCGGACTTTTGTATTAGACTATACTTGTTTTACCTAGATGCAGCTAATAACAGCCAGCTGAGTACATACAGATATCTGTAAATCCAATAGGAAATATTCTATATAGACCACGAATAATCAAGTTACAAGGTCGATTTATTTACTATATTACAACACAGACTGCATAACGAGATGAAACTGCAGTTCCCTTTATTTTACACTCGACAACCAAACGTTATATACAAAAATGATATACATGATGAATGGGTGGATAAATAACAAGCCAGTACAAATATTTTACATTAAATTGGACATTTATTTTGTATCAGAATGAAGTAAACTAAATTTGGGGTAGAATTGTGAACAAGATATTTGCAGATGGTGACATTTTGCATTTTAGAGTTGTCTAATGACACGGTTTCTATAATACACTGAACATTTTTTTTGGCATTTCTATCTGCAATTTCTTGTTACTTATTAGCCAACATGAACTGACATAATATCTGTTGGAAGCTAAAATCATCCAATTGTACACACATTGTATTCAGTTGTGTGCAGTGATAATTTGGCCTGAAGGTGGCACTAGAGGAAAGCTCTTGGATTGTCCCAAATGAAAGAGGCTGTAAATCCGGGGGATAAATACATTCAGGAAATTTCAAAGCAGTAGGATTAAATTTTAACGTTTCTGGTGTGTCGGTCAAAGTTTTGACTTGATTTTGATCCTACAAGACAGATCAGGGGGTCATCAAGATATCTTTGGATTATTATAATATATCTAGACCCCAAGCAGACACGCGTGTTTAAACCCTGCAGCTGGAAGGCCGAAATCTGTCGTGACAGTTGAAGAAATTTTTAATCTACTCCACCCACATGTGACCCACAGAGACACCAAAAGGGAAATAGTCAAGGTTTTATTTTATCCCTGGCCTCAGTATTGCCAGTGGACCTTGCATTAACCTGCTAGGGGCTTTGTTAATGTCAGCAGACCATACAGGAACCAATCCCTGACTCTGTTGCTGTTAAGTCCTTGGACCTACTCGTATGATTAGTAGGATTAGTGTAATGGTTCGGAGACTGAGGCTAAAGATGGATGGATCGCAGCCTTTTCATGCTGCTCTGCCCCTCCATCCCTCTGGAACGGATTTTGCAAAACAGTGGAAAACAGTTTAGAGTTTATTAGTAGCGCAGTACCTGTCAGTTTCTGTGTCTTACTTTGGTTCCTCTTATAGTAATATTTTGGTTAAGGATTTGAATTTTGAGGTCCAATGACATTTCTGCCAATGGGGAGCTGACAGCTCAGTTTGAACAGCTAACACTAATGACCTGTTCTGTTTTAGTGCCACACAGCCGAGCTTTGTGTTAAAGCTCGTGGGATAAAACAAAAACAGTCCTGTGATCACGGTTTTCCTGTCATCTCTCTGCAGACGCTGTGTATGTGCTGTGCTACAGTCTGATCCTGCTGTCCATCGATCTGACCAGCCCCCACGTCAAAAACAAAATGTCCAAGAGGGAGTTTATCAGGAACACTCGCCGAGCAGCACATAATGTCTCGGATGACTTCGTAGGCCACCTCTATGACAACATATACCTGATTGGCCACGTGGCCGCGTAGCTTTACCTACCAGCTGTCCAGCAGAAATCCTCATACTGCACTGAAGAATACGAGTTGGTGATTGACACATACATGACAGTAAAGTATGGAACACTGTATTATTAGATTTTAGATCAAAGGTGTGAAACACCTGAACTGTCTTTAAAACCAGGTCACTGCAAAGAAGGAGGTTTTAAAGTTGAACCATGAAGACGAGCTCTGATACTGCACTGACGGATGGAAACTACTGATTGGTGGAGGAGGAGCACCACTGCCCTCAGCCTGTCACAGATGCCGGGACAGTCATGCTGATTTCCTATTGGACAGGATTTGCCTCACATACCCCAGTAGGACAAACGGCTCCATTCTTGTAGGAAGCGACACGGGACGTTAGACGTGGCTCAAGGCTAGCACAAGATCACTCACCATTGTTGCTTGTAGAATTAGTGTTACTAATGACGAAGGTACGTCAGTTGACCTTGATACACTGTCCAGGGGTAACAACCAGAATGTCCAAGTGTCAAGATTCAACTAAGCCTGGTTTTCTCTGGCACATACTAGTTTATTTATTGTTTCATTTTACGAGTAAGACGAACAAGACGACAACACGTTGGGCCTCGTGTGTGTGAACATTTTCGTATTCTTATCTCCTACTTTTTTCATTGAGGTGTGCTTGTATGAGTGTTCCAAGTCAGAGTCACTAAGCTTGATCAACTGCACCTAACAAACGTAACGTAAATCGCTCGCTTCAGCTTCATGAATGTCACCTGTTCATGATGCGCTTGTGAGATTTGATCATTTGACAGAAATAAAGAGGGAATAGTTTGACATAAAGTTAGGCCCATGACTAAGACGAGAGAATACGTGAGAATATTACAGCCTCTGTGCAACCGAGAATGATACTGGACAGTGACCTGCATACATTTTCAAATGCAGAAGTTCCTGTGCCAAAATGTGCCAATAAAAAGTACAAAATCTAAAACACCTTTCAGTAAATTGGCAAGTCATGTGAGAATATGGTGGATAACAAAATATTATTCTTGCGTTACGTTTGTTTTAGTTGTGTATTTTATTTTAGTTCTTTTCTGTCTCATCGTTGAACCCCAGATTGATTGAGATTATTGCATCATAATTCTGAAAGTGAAAGTGTTTTTGTCACCCAGTGGAGAAGGTTAGACATGACTTGTCCGACAGGTCTGGAGCGATTGTGAAGTTAATTTGTATCTAAGAGAAAGTTCTAGAGACTGGTGAACACCACAAATGTGAAATTATTTAAAGGTCCCATATTATACTCATTTTCAGGTTCATACTTTTATTTTGGATGTGTCTTCCGGCTGCTCTGCCTCAACTTTCAGTGATTTACGGAGATCCTGATTGACAGATTTACAGCTTTACTTGTTGTTAGCAGTTACTTTAGCTACTGACTACTGCTAATGGTGGCTAGTTAGCTCAGTTAGCCATGCAGCTATCCATCCTATTAACTTACTCTGCGCGGACTGGAAGCTTGGCGCTCCGGGGGTATGTTGGTGTTTACACCTCTGTTAGTATGGGAGCTTTTTACTGCTGGGTGCGCCCAGTTCAGGCAGAGTCAGCTGATAATGGCAGCTACAGTTAGCAGTAGCTAACAGCTACTGTAGCGATAGCAACAAGTAAAGCTGTCTGTCCATCAGGAAATTCCTTAAAAAACAGAGAGTTGAGGCTGGAGAAGGTCCGATGCTGTACAGATCTGTTCATGACATCGTTAAGGGAACCAAAATGAAACCGCATGTTGGCGCACACATTTACTGAAAGACTGAGCAGGAGTAAAGGAGAGGATTTTTTTTTAATTCAGCTGAAAATATTTTGCATAATATGGGACCTTTTTAACATGCATGAATTCAAATGGATTGTTGCATAATACATTTGATGGACATGCAGGTAAAAAGCAAAGTAAAATGCACATTCTCCGTGTTGTAGGAACCAACTAGCTGACTTTTGTGCGACCTTTAGTCCAGATAATGATGATGAAGATTATTGAAACTGAATGTATTAAAACTGTTTCTTATACATGACATTAGGGAAGAATTTAATCATACTGCTTTGGGGTGACGAGCTTTTTGTGCAGCAGATAGAGCACAGCAGCGTCTACAGTATGTGATGCTGCTTTATGAAGGAAATAGTAGAAGTCAGGGTTCGGTGATGGACCTGACTCTAATTCTGGCATCATTATCAAGTGTAGAGAAAGATAATGTCTGCAATTTTTAGCTTTTGAATTGTCCTGGAAGGATTAAACCACTGGCTGAGGTTCATGAAGTTATTGTGTTTTAAAACTAATACTGATATAATTTTTATATTTTTGCACAATGCACATGTATTTACCGCAGTTGCCACAGGTTTAGCTGTAGTCGTAGGCCTCCATTGTTTTTTAAACTCCCTGGAAAAACAACCCAGTGAAAGTTTTCTTATTTAACAGTATATAGTATTTTTCAAATAGTGGAAGCTTATTATTCTTAACAGGGGCAACAAGCCAGAAGAGAAGATGTGGTGGCTGACAGGCACTCCAGTGGTGTACAAACGACTTCAGTCAGAACATATTGATGATCTCAAATATTCAAAGACATTAAATATTTCCAGCTGTTGCTTTTTAAAAGTAAATCAACTGAATAATGCCCATCAGACCTGAATGCAGGACGAAAGTCTCTTCTACCCATGAGTCCCAGCGGCTAACATGTAGCTGTGACAGTGATTGTGGAATGGAACCATAGCAACAGCCATGATGACACAGTTTGTTAAATTGAGGGGGTTTATATTATAACCTAGATAGCTAGTTGCAATACCAATCAACATTTATTTCTTTTTTGATTTGTTTTGTATCTATATAGATTTTGTTTAAAAAGTCTCTTCATTAGTGAGTTCAGAATTTATTTTAATTAATAAATAATGTTATTGGGGATTCCTCATTGCTGATGATGCACACAGATCAAGAACTTTATCTTCATTGTTTTCTTTAAAATTGTGAAGGTAATAAACTTCCTGTAGTGTGATTTTGTCTTTATAGTTACCAGAATACTTTATGACTGACAAAATGTACTGAGAAATTGTTCCAAATATTTGACTTATTAAATCTGTGCTTGATTTTATAGACATGTTTTAACCACCTACAGCTGTACAGCGTAACACTCGTTTTATTTGATCCTCTCTAAATTTAAACAGTTCAATTCATTGTTCAGTGATAGATGTGGTTCTCCTTCCCCACGAGATGAAGGTGAAGGTGTTTCCTTCCTCTCTCTCTCTACTGCTTGTGGCTGGAGGACTGCGATGGCACCCAGTCACATTACTGTTTCATGTGGTTTGTCAGCTAACAGTTAAATAAAGTATTTGCATAAACAAGCAAATAAATAATAATCAATCTAGAGTAACTGAGTCATAAGACACAATCAGGTGGCATTTTTAATAAAAGCATACAAGCAAACAGAACATGCACTAGTCTGATCCAAGTCATTAAAAAGCAGATGTGATTTGGTACCGATATTCTCACTTGGTTAAATACAAATCCTATCCTAACAGGCCACACTACTTCTTGCAGTTCTGTATGTGTATGTGTGTAAGCGTTAGCGCTTGCATGTTTGAGATCAAACAGCCGAAAGAGTAAATCCTCTCCAGACACAATATGACCTTTGACACTTGACCTGTGTTAGTGTGTGTGTGTGAATGACCTATCCCTGGGTGATGTTTGTTTTATGTACTGCAAATGAAAAGAGAGCAGAGATGCACGACCTATCCATACACACATGTACACATACACACGCACACAGAGGTAAAACTTTCACAAAGTGATTCTTCATTTTAATCCTGATAGATATTCAAATATACAAATACCTATCTGCAATGAAAACAGAACTGACTCTGAAAGAATGAATGGAATAGTGTCTGCAGCAGTTTGAGTACCAGTAGCGCTGCGGTAGGAGCTTACTCAAGTAATTTGTATCAGCTGTAACAGGTAAAATACATAACTGAATATTTCTAATAAAAGATTGTTTTCCTTTTCAATTAATGAGGCCTGACCCCGAATAGTCGAAGATTCGATGCTTTGATGGACGGATCCTGATTCGACTGTCAATCTCACAGTCGAAGATTCGCAGCGAAACAAGGATCACCCCATTTTGGCGATATGGGGGTGCTCAACATCTGATTTTAAATAGATCTACCAGTTTTCTCCCAGTAAGTTAATATACAGCCTATTACAATGCACATTTCAATGTTTAATCCTATAAATAAATATGTAAATAGAAAAAACTTTCAATAAATAAATAAAGCGTGAATAAATCCAAAATTGTAACCTTAACCCTGGGGCGTCAGTGCGCATGTGTAGGCGTAGCGTGTGTTTAGTGGCAGAAGAGGAACACTTGCTGAAGAGACGGAGCCCCGGCTTCACTGGCGTTGTGCCGAGTTGTCCGCACCTCACGGGACATTCGGATCATTTATCACCGTTGATGAACCACACAGAGAATATTATATCATTTTGAAACAGCCGGCTACTTGAAATGATGAGGTACCGCGACGTGCATGCAGTTGTCGGCAGCACGGCATGCACGCAAAACTCTGCACAAGACCGGTGAATCGCAGGCGAGAAAGAGAGAGAGAGAAAACATGGCCAACAATAAGCAATCGCCGTGCACAAAGACACCCATGATTCGACAATCAGTCGACTATAGGCAGGACTTGACGATTCTGAATCGACTATGTAAATCCTTAGTCAGGGACAGACCTACAATCAATACTTTTACTTTTAATGAATCTGACAACCTTATAGTGTCTAAAACCAATGTCAAAGAAACTCTACCAAAAGCAGTTTATTTGTTTATTTAAAGGATCTCCATTAGCGGATGCCATGGCAATCAGCAAATTGTCCTGCAGTCCACAGCTGACATACTTTACAAAACACATTACATTAAATTGCATTAATATATATTAATATCACAAAATATATTGTACAATATGGCACAGAGTTATACCTCCTAATATCTTCTAATAGAGCAGCCCAGAACAAGTCTGGCAGCCCTGTTTTGCACGACTTGGAATTTTGCAAGATTTGTTTTGGATGCAGACGACCAGCTTTAGAGCAATAGCCAAGGTGACACAAAATCAGTGATTTAGAAACTGCACCCAACTTGCATGATTGTACATAAGGAGAACACTTTATTGTGACTGCAATAACAGCCCATTTCAGTTATTAATGTGCTCGGTCCATAATAGTTGACTGTCAACAAATAGGCCCAACAATTTGGCTTTGTCCATGTGTCTCCATTTTAAGCTTAGACACCAATTTATGTTGTGAACCAAAGACAATACCTTTAGTTTTAGATATATTTATGGTTAATTTTTGTGTTTTGATCCAATCATATACTACATTCAGCTAGCTAGCTATTTAATTCATGGCATGTGGATGCTGCATAATAAACAGTGGAATCGTCAGCATACAATGTTACACCTGCATTTTTCACAGCAGAGGGAAAAAACTGGAGTGGTCCCAGACAACTTCCTTGAGGTATACCACATGCTAAACTACTACAAAAGACCTTTTGTGTACCAAAAGTAGTGACATGAAATGAATTAAATAGTTGAAATAGTTCAAAATAGTTTATAACCTTTCTGTCTATTGAATATTTTAGCACCGTTAAGATCATCACTGAAAAAGCTATACTGTGTATATGAGGGGAATGCACTGCTTAATTCCTTCACTGTGTGTGTAAGAAAAGGACAACCAATTGTGCCACTATGAGCTTCTCTGTCAGGGATGTGCCAGCAATTACTTAAGAGGGCTAGTTCAGGTTTTTTGAAGAGGTATTTATTCTCATCTGTGTATTACCTGCAGTAAATGTTATCGTCATCGTTTCCCCAGTTTGGAGAAGCAGAGAGTTGTACCGTCAGGGAAGGTAAGCAACATACTGCTGTGGGCACGGTCATTAGCAAAACAGATTTTAGCCACCTAAAAGAAAAGAAATCTATGTCAATTCATGTGTATATATTTAGAATATTTATAGTGCTTGCCGTCTGTGTTGCCCTTAGGGCATTATATGAACAATGCTTTTATTTTGAAATGTGTGTGATACTGTGTATGCTCAAGGACTTCCTGGTTAGTCATTTCAGGAAGCCCGCCGAATCTGTTCCCTTGCTTTATGACATCATCCACTTTGTAAACGCCAGAGAGGCAACATCGTAAGTAAATTATTTCATAGTTGTACTTAAGTGAATGTTTAAAGATAATATATACATGGAAAGCACATGTAGCTAACAAAATGGTGATTTGTTGCAGTATTTACCTGTCTGATAAGATGATGTTAAGAGCCACAGTAAACATCAAGAAAAGCTTAACTATGACTCAAGTCATGGAGGAGTTTGGCTAGTTGGATAGCAGCAGCTTCTATGCTGTAGGAAATACAACATATCGTCACACAGCCATTTGCTTTGGACATACATTTTCTCAGCCTTCCGTAATCTTATGCATAAACCCATCCTGAATAACACCGCAGGAGAATTTTTCCATTTTTGTTGTATTAAAGAAGGCACTGAATCTGCCTGTAGTTGAGAATGATCAATTGCTTGTTGGCATGGATGTGAGGAACGTTGCTGATGATGCTGCGTTCCCAGCATGTAGGATTACTATAAGATAACCTCATTAATTTAACACTGGTCACTGATGTGGTGGAGTGAATCTGGGATGTTCCAGATGAATGTATTAATGTGTAATGTTGTGTGAAGGGAAATAATGAACGCCACCATCCAACACAATGTAACCCGCCAGGTCTGTCTCTCTCTGTTGCTGCTGATGATGTTGACCCAAGTTGGGTCTCAGGAGGAGGAGGAGGATGATGATGATGATGAAGGGGCTAGTGTTTATTTAGTCCAGCTCAGACCGGTGGGCCCGGGTCGTCGTCTGGTGGCGTCCCAGTCCAGAGAGCCTCACTTAAGACTGATGGAGATGATGGATGGCCTCCTGAGCCCCAGAGCCTCTGCACTTCATCAGCATGAGCAGCCACTGCTGCTGACACTGCAACACACACACACACACACACACACACACAGCAGGCTGGTTCACACAGTGCTCCTGCTAACACACACCACTGACACTGCAGGTACTGCTGCTACTGCTACTACGGCAACTAACACTGATCTACTACCTATTAACTATTACTGCTGCTGCTACTGGTAATAATAATACACATGGATTTATTATTATGATACATTACACTATTATGGGTTATGGAATTACAAGCATGATGTAATAATAAGAAAAGTGATAGCATCATCTATTAAAGTAATATTTTTCTACTCTTTTTATTTTTATCAGTTGTGTAAATTAAAAAACAAATTAATAATGATTGAAATTAAGAGAGAGAAAATGAAGTATATAAATAAAATAATAACAAATAAATAGATCAAATACATTACATGGCAGAAACACCCAAAGTATCTCCACGCCAAATCAAATGAGTGCCCTAAGTAACATAACACCGAGATAGCATTAGCACATTCTTACAAAAAATATTGATTTATCACCACGATTTCAATTTACATAGCACAAGTCCATTCTTTTAAACACCGTTTCAGTCATTACAAACTGACACTGTGCAGCCAAAAAGCTTTGCGCACATTTCTTTTTATTTGAGAGGAGATCCTAAAGTTTTCAATGATAACAAATATGTCAGGCTGCATTTGGGGAATTTATCTGCTCAACAGTGTAGCATGCTCCCTTTGAAATGTAGATTTTCTTACATCAGAAAATGTACAACATTTGAGAAGCAGAGGTGTTTTGATACTTCTGTATCTGACTAAGAGCCATTTGTGGCTTGGAACCAAAATGTTTCTAGTGTAATAAAATCAAACTTTTACAGGGAGTCTCAGGTCTTTGGGAAGCAAAAATCACAATTACCGTTTTGGACTCAGCATCTGGACAAGTGTTTAAAATTCAAGACAGAATGTTTTCCATTTGATGCAGTGGCATCAATATTTTGATTTAAAACATTTCACTTCCACAAATAGCTGGAACAAACTTATAAACATATTAAATTAAAGGGAAATTGATATTAAGGGGGTAAAATAATCAATACACTCAAATCTCTGTACTTTTGATTTGCTCCACTAAATGTATTTTCTGTACTTTTTATGCAGTTTCTTGTCAATTAATTATTATACAGTTAAGCCAAAGGTGTACTAAAATAATAATTACAAATGCAGATGCCATTTGCAGTTTATAATTAACTGAAGATGCTTTGTGTTGGAATTGTCCCTGGTGCTTCATCAGATCTTGTGTATTGGTAAATGAATGTTGTGGTGGGATTCAGCTGCCACAAGCCTGTTAGCATCCAGCAGCCACTGAAAGCTGCCCAGTAAAATGCAACTCCTAAATGAAA